GTTCTGTAGTTAGCCTCAGTGTTCTCAGTAGGCATCCAGAATCTAGTTGGGTTTTTCGCTGTCTCTTCAGTTTCTCTTTGTGCCTTCAGTCCGCCTTCTGTCCGCACAGTCTTAGGACCGTCCCGCCGCTAGGTCACGTGTTCCCGCCGACTCCCGACCGCTCCGACCGCCCGACTCTGCCTGGTACCGACTCACGACCGTCAGCTACTCGGCAGGCTACTGCCACCAACTCACCGTCATCCTGTCAGGTTCCAGGAGCGTTCAGATACGGTCTGCCCGTCCGCACCCGATCACTGCCTTGAGCACCATTCTCCACCTCGACCTCCGACCTTCGACCGTCTGCCTTGTCGATCCTTGAACAGGCAAAGCATAGAGAGACCCCTGTGCATCGAACTCTCAGGCAGCCTCGCTCGCCTGTCCTCGATCTCGAGTTCCGCCAGTGCCAGCATCGTCTAGGGGAGGTTTGGTTGGTTTGGCTCGGCGCAGGGTTTGTAGCTGCCGCCTTCGCCCCTGGAGCTGGTGTCTTTGTTTCAGTGGTTGCGGATCCAGTATGCATGACGTACGGCCTCACCCCACAGAAAGGGAGGTAGACCAGCTGCGAGGCGCATGGCACGTGCAGCTTCCTCAATGGTACGATTTTGACGCTCGCTTATGCCGTTTGACTGAGGAGAGTCATGCACTGTCAGGTGCACTTTGGTGCCTCGTTTCGCGAGGTGCTCGCGAAATTCATCGCTCATGAATTTGCCGCCACGGTCCGTGCCATAAATTTTGATGCGGATGTTGTGCTGCGTCTCGACCCCAGCCTCGAATTTGAGGTAATTATTGTACGTCTGACTTTTGAGCTTTTAAAAGTATACCGTGCCGTGCTGAGTGGCTACGTCCTTCAGCCCATAAAAGTACTCATTACCGCCCAATGATTTGACGTCCATTGGCCCAACAAGGTCACCGACGACTTTGTCACCAAAGTTTTTGTATTTCTCGGCGCAGAGGTCGTGAACACAGGGGAATGGATGACGTGCTGCCTTTGCATGGATGCATGGTTCGCAATCGGTAGGCTCAACAGTCGAATCAAGCTGTACGCCAGTAACTGCACCAGTATGTATCATTTGCTTGAGATCACTGTGGTTGACATGCGCCATAATCTGGTGCAGTTCATTTATATCCACAGTTTGTATGGCGACGTGGGCTTCATGTCCAAATGGAGCATGTCCATCACCTTGAGAGATGTAGTATAGATTACGAACGTGGGGGATACATGCAATGATGCAGCATTTAGGACGTGGAGCGCGAACCGTGCAGATGCTGTCAGCGAAGGTGGTCGAGAAGCCTGCTTTGTCAAGGCATGGGATGGAGATCAATGTATACGCCATTCCAGGTGCGTAATAAGTGTTGACGAGCTTTAGCGGCGTCTTCTTATCAGCTCCATTGGGTAGGTGCGTGATCATCCAGCCACGGCCAACAGCTGTGAACGTGCGTCCGCTCGTGGCATTGATCGGGACAGCTGTGATTTCGACAAACCCTCGGAGACGGTGTTTGTCTGGGGTAAAGTGTGCGGTGGTGGCTGAGTCCATAAGTTGGGCATGTGTGACGGGTGCGGCATCTGCGGCAGTGAGTGCATGTTCGTCGACATCGCCATAGGTGCATTGAAGATCAGCGAGAGCAGCATAAAAGTCATCGTCGTCACTCGTGGGAGCATCTGCAACATGTGCGGCAGGTGCAGCAGGCTTGGGAGTCTTCTCCTTTTGCTCGTTTTTCTTTCGCTCCCAATAGGCTTTGACGCCAGGTGGCGCATTTGCCTCCTGTGCACCACCGGGATTATAGCAATCCTTGGTGTGGTTCATTTTGCCGCAGTTGCTGCAAGGCGAGTACTTCTTCGTCTTCTTCTTGTTTGATTTGGGCTTATCACATGGCCTCGTTGACAACCAGGAAGTTGTGGACATGGCGGTGCCGTCAGTCTGTTCCTTTTCGACAAGCTTGTGGTGTGCCTGAGCAATAACGGTGTTGCAGAGGTCATTGGAGGAGATTGTGGTACTCGTGAGCTTGGCGTTTGTGGTGATTGTTGTCCAGAATGACTCCCATGACAGTATGTCGGCAAATGCAAGTTTGAGAATGGCATTGAAGTGAGCGTCGGGCATGGTGATGCCCATGTCGATGAGGCTGTCGCGAGCAGTGCGCATAGCTGTAACAAACTCGACGATGTCGTCACCTTCTTTGCACTGCATGCGCTGCAGCTTAGCAAGTGTGTCTGCCTTCTCGTCCTCGCCTTTGCCTTCACATAGCTGACAGAGCTTTGTCCAGACCTTTGCCGCTGTGTCTTCACCCTTGACTTGTAAGTACGTGGTTTGGTCCACTGACTTGTAGATCGAGTTGCGGATTTTCGCCTCGTTCTTGTTGAAGTCGTCAACTTTGTCCAGGTAGGTCTCAACTTTGTCATCAGTAAGTGCCGTCGTCTGACCCGGGAGATGGTAGATGCCCTTTTCGTCCTCGGTAGGCTCGATAGGACGCTTGCGCTTGCCAGTGAGCTGCCTCAATAGTCCATGTTCTGTGAGGTAAGTAACGAGTCGGTCCTTATAGGTTGGCCAGTTCGTACTGGTGAGCTTCGGAAAACCTAGCTCGACCTTGACCGTCGTCATGGACGTTTCAGAGAGATTCAGCACATCTGATGCGGGGCCCATAACCTGTGCAACGTAGCGTGGGTGCGGGACTAGATAACACAGTGAGCGTAAGTGTAACGACCTCAGTGAAAAGAAAGCACTATTATATTTATGTACCTAGATAACGCAGTGAGCATAAGTGTAATGCTAGGTACAGTAAGTACGAGTGTGGACAGTAAATTAAATGAGTACTTACACCTCAGTGAAAAGAAAGCACTGAGGTGAATGAAATGGTGAGATGGCGGGATATAGCCCGCAGTGAGTCATGATACCAAAAACGGAATAATTTCTAATATAGTAGCACGGTAGGATTGTATGTCTCACACTTTGTACTCTATTCGTTTGCACTAGTCAAACGGAATATATTGTACTCTTTGTGTTGCCCGTCTTCCCACCTAGCGCGTTTCCAACAGTCTGTCAACTATTGGTCTGTCGACTATTGGCCTGTCGACTATTGATCTGTCGACTATTGATCTGTCGACTATTGATCTGTCCACTATTTGTCTGTCAGCTGTCCCTCTGTTGGCTGTCCCTCTGTCAACTTTTCAGCTGACTGTCCATGTGTCAACTGTCCAGTCAACTGTTCAGTCAACTGTTCATCCCTCCATTGTCCAGTCAACTGTTCGTCTCTCGACTGTTCATCTTCAGGCTCATCCCCTTCGAACTCACAAGGTAAAGCTGAAGGTGTTTATTTGGTTTTTCCTACTTTGTAAATATTTAGCTTACAGAAATGTTGCTTAATAGTAATATGGAATTTGTTTTTTGCAGAACAAATGTTTATATTTTTTTGTGATTATTTATGTCTTGCAGAAATGTTCCAAAGAAAATATATTTGCTTAGCAGAAATGTCTGCAAAGATAATGTTATTTCTTTGCATACAATAGAAACACTACAATATATTATTTGGTGTCATATTTCAACCACAAAGAAGTGTCACAGTATGTGATATATTTATACATTACAGTAAGCTACTATAGAAATCTTATTTTCATTGATGAATGGCCCAGACGTGGCAACCCGATGTGGGGTAGTTAGCCGATCAGCCGATCAACGGCGAAATTCAGCTTCCCGCCAATGCTATTTGATCGCACATCACTGTGTCGATCCGACCTGTCATCGGAACTCCGGTTCCGGACCCGGTCCGACTTGTGTAATCGGTGGACGGTGATTGATGAAGTGAATCTGCAACCCGGTTATCAGTGGAATCAAAACCATTAAATAGCGCAGGTCCAAATAACAGTTATATTTTTGTAAAATTAAATTTGAGTTCATCTATAATCAGTTGAATATTGTGATCAAGTCAGTTAATTCAAACTAAGGTGGTGTAATCAACCGGTGAACACCCATTTTCTCAATTTTGATTTTCGCTCCATCGGTTGATCCGATCGATTATCAGTTACTCATAAGTTGGATTAACCGGTGATCGCCAGTGCATTCGAAACCAATAGAAATATTAGCTTTTGTCCATCAAGGACGGTCATAGGCTTGCCTTTCGTCAAGTTAACGCGTCGTAGATGGGCCCTTGGGATCGTCGTACGAATAGAAGCACGCATCCACCGGCACCCTTCGCCATGTTGTGATCGTCCGAGTCTGCAATGGCAACGTAAGAATGCGGATCGACGTCCTGCAGTGGCGTGATGAGGTCCTCATCATGTTGAGCACAATTTCTGGCGTTGTCATATCATTGCCAGAACCCTTGACCGTGTCGTCCGCAATAAAAAAAAAAAAAAAAAAAAAAAAAAAAGACTCGTTAACAAGAGCGCCACCGGCTCGGTTGAGCGACTATTTTCCTGACTTGACACGGGAGAAGGCTGAAAGTAGACAACCAGACGCTGGCTGGAGTTTCGGATGACAACCACTCACAAGAGCATGAGGAAGTACCCGAGTACGATTTATTTTACGTCATCGGGTCACGATAGGATCATATTTGCAAAGTGAGAGTAACTATGCACCTTTCGTTAGAAAAAAAAACTCTATGCTTAAGTGCTACGGTGATAAGAGTTTACAAGAAATGAGTAATAGCTTATTTTCGGACGTGAGCAATGAGGCGTTCTGCGGCACGCGGTGTCTGCGGCTCCTACACGGCGGACATTCTCCCGTGTCAAGTCAGGAAAATAGTCGCTCAACCGAGCCGGTGGTAGTAGGTTATTGTTCTCCAAATGCACTCCACGTGATCGAGCCACACCATTCTGGAAGCCCCATTGAGCACTCTTTTGTGGCAAAACCTTATCTGGTGCCAATGATTAATGAGTACTGAGTGGCCAAGCCAGAATCTTGTCAAAAACATTATGCAGCTTGTCATGAAACAACCCTTGCGCAGAAAAAGAGTTCGAATCAATAAACTATAGCCCACCGCGAGGGTCGAACTCGCAGCCTTCAGATCATACACCATGGTCATACCTTATTATAAGAGTCTGACGCTCTATCCGATTGAGCTAGGCGGGCTAATCAGTGGCACAAATGTTGGCCATAAGAGAACATACTTATGGCTTATCTGGAGCCAAAGTAGGTAAGTCCAAGGTCTAGCATCGATAAACAAAGTGTTATGTCAAATATGGCATTCTGTTTGCAGCAGCACGGCAGATCTTTTGTGTCGAAAAAAAAAGGAAGTTCCCTATTTTTGTTGTAGAACATGAGTCATGACTAGGTCCGGAAGAGCTCGGCAATATGCAATCGACATTCCCTCGTACACGATGCACACCTACAGTGCCCACCAAAAGTCTTGGAAAAGTCCGATCACGGCAATCAAACACTGGTCGGTTTGCGACCCTATCCAGCGAGTGAAGTGGATGTCAAATGAAAAATTGCTGTAAACTAATAACGTGTTGGCCCGGCTGATGCTTGTATGATAGCCTGGACACGGTTGGGCATGGAAGATGTGAGCTTATTAATAACTGGGAAGCTCTGACTTCGTCAGACCAAGACCTTGCGAGTACATATATTTTTATGCCAAATTCCAAAAAAAAAGTAGTCTATCTTCCAAAATGGTGCAACACATTTTACATTGTAATGTTGATTAACAAGGATTATCAGAATGAGGTGCACATATGGTCTGCTGAGAACAGCAATGGATACATGAAAAAGAGCTCTTCATCAGTGTCTGATAAGATGATGGTCATGACAATGTTGGATGAGGTGCCAGCCTAGGTCAAAGCTGAGAGATGAAGGAGAACAGGTAGTCGGGGAAAGAACAAACCGTAGGAGAGAAATTGAATGCAGGCAAGACTTCGTTGTTGTCAGGAGAAAATGGAAAAAAACATGATTGAAGCTTGAAAACGACGAAGGAGTAAGCGACGAGGAGATGAAAGGTACGGTGGTAGAAGGAGGAAGAGAGGCATGAAGCAGCGGGCAAGGAGCGTGCGCAAATTGTACGAGCCAAACAAGAATGAGCATTTGCAGAGGAAGCATTCAATTGAGGGAATGTATACAGCGGATTTATCAGGTTGCTTCAAACGAATATGCTTAGTGAAAACCATTTAGTCAACAATTGGAACCGGCGGATCAATCGGGATGTCGAAATGCTGGTCAATTATGAGAGTGAGAGACCTTTCTATCGCAAGGTAATATCTACTGGAAGACGCTCCCATTCCTCATAAATAGCCTACTTGAAGGTACGCCACGTTCGATCACTGATCGGACCTCGGAAACAATCACGGCTTTTCCAAGACTTTTGGTGGGCACTGTAGATCTGGATGCATGATTTTGAAAGGAAATCATTCCAGCTTCACTTCATTCATATCTCTGAACGCACAGTTATTATATGGACGTGTGAAGGAAACTTGCCTCTCGTCAAGTTAACGCGTCGTAGATCGGCCCTTGGGATCGTCGTACGAATAGAAGCACGCATGCACCGGCACCCTTCGCCATGTTGTGATCGTCCGAGTCTGCAATGGCAACGTAAGAATGCGGATCGACGTCCTGCAGTGGCGTGATGAGGTCCTCATCATGTTGAGCACAATTTCTGGCGTTGTCATATCATTGCCAGAACCCTTGACCGTGTCGTCCGCAATAACAAGAATCATTTTATGCAAATTCGGGTAGTCCAGCGTCGCAAGCGAGTCTAGCGAGTCTAGCGTCGTACGCCAGCCTTCGACCGACTCAGAGTATGCAGTGACGAGCGCAGTTGTATGCACAAACGGGAGATCGAATGGCTCATAGTCGGACGGTCGGGCGGCAGCTGAGCATCAACATTGTGGAGGTAGGGCGCCTTGTAAGTGCGCGATGATATGCTATCTGCGTACTTTGGATGGTAGGCAGGCGAGTCTGATACCTTTCGCAACGCTGGAAGCATAGACTGATTTCTTGTAGTTTGATGACGAGGCGCTGTTTTGAGCAAAGCCGCTGTACTTTTGAACAGATCACTCTGTCAACTGAGGGCAGAGAGATGTCGTACTTTGCAGTGGACATTATGACCATCTAGAAAGGGGTCGCAGCTGCTCAGCAATTGTGCACGTCGATGTGAGTCCCGCTAGCAGTGACTCGTGAGCGCTGAGCGACTGACTACAGCTTGTTTTTTTTTTTTTTTCAATTTCTCAGTTGATGTCTTGTGAAGCGCATTCGCATACATTTGAGGAATCAATAGAGACTGGCACCTACGAGTATTGAAACGTATCGATTTTCGAAGCACTCTGCATTCCGTGGATCAAGATGTTTTTGCCTGTCACGTGAATGCTGCGCTATCTAATCTGATAAGATCATCTACTTCAAGTTCCCTTTTCGTACTCCTCACGGTCAGGACGCGTAGCCCATTCCTCCTTCTGTACGACAGAAAGCCACGTTGATTCTGCTCCCCTACCTCTCTACTTCCGCACCCTATATTAAAGCGCTTTGCCCCCAAGCCAGCAATTCAGCCAGCCTTTAACACCTCCACTTATAGCTTGTCCATCTGCCCACCCATGTCGACGGTATCAGAACCATCTACCCCATCCCAATCCTCTGCAACAGCACCATCTATTACGTTCTCCAGCGCCGCGCGTACTGGTACGAAGCAGTCGCATGCCGCCATCGAGGCGGCGTTGGCCCCTCTCGTATCTGCATCGATCACCATTTCGACGTACGTGCGCTACCTGGTAGCGCTGCGCGAGCTATATGTTGCTCTCGAGGCAGCGCTGGCGGACAACTGCGACCACCCAGCTCTGCGGCCGATCTTCAACCCGCGCGTCCTCTGCCGCGTCCCCGGCCTCGATGCCGACATCCAATTCTACACAGACATGCTTAATTCCTCGGGTGGCAAGGTGAGCGATACCGCCCGATTGGCATCAGGACACGACAATATATCTTGATGTTATGAATTTCAGGTATCCACCCCGCCCCACTCGTCGTCCCTACCACAACCGTTGCATACGTACACGACGTATATTAAGAACCTCTCTGTGACAGCGCCGCATATGTTGCTCGCACACGCGTACGTACGTTACCTCGGAGACATGAGTGGCGGTCGTGAGATTCGGCGTATCATCGAGAAGCACTTTCTGCGGAACGTGTCAACTGGTGTAACGGAAGATCGTGCGCTGGATGACTTGGGGTGCGGTTTGGCCTTCTACCGTTTCGAACCACTTGAGCCGCCGGCGGGCGCACCGCGTGAGGCGAATGCGACAGAAATTAGGCAGATCAAGGTGTGGTTCCGCCATGGCATGGATGTCGGTGCGGGCGCGGACGAAGCGATGATTCATGCGCTCGTAGATGAGGCGAATCGCGCGTTCGAGATGAACAGCGATGCCCTCAAGGGCATTGTTCATGAAGGTACCACCAAAGTACCAGGGGATACTGTACAAGAAAGGCTATTGGACAAGAAAGACGTATCTGTGCAGACGTTGGGTGTGGAGGTGCCGTCAGCGGGTCGCGGATACTCTCACCCTGCGATTCTCGCCACCGCTTTCATCGCGTTTGTGGCGCAGCTGTTCCTAATTCAATGGTTCTACTCATGAAGAATTAACATCTTTCTTTTCCCTTTGCAGCGCCAGGCAATATTGTGTACATTCAGTTTGTGCTTACTTCATCTCCATTCATCAACTAAATATGTGACCACGTCCTATCTATCCACATATCTATTTATACGTGAGTTGTACACATCCTGCACAGTCATTGTGTCTACTAAACGTCATACCATATGCATTGTCCAGGTTTTGTTGTTCTATGCTCTACAAGTTCTTACGCAACGAATCTCCTTGCGTTGCATCACCATTAGCTTCATTGACAAGCTTCTCGAGCCACGTTGGCAGTTGCGCTGGGCAAGTATCGAAGGCGTGGCCTTCGCGGCCAGGTCATTTATCTCACGCGTTATCTCACGCGTCATGTCAGGTCTTGCTTAGCGTTCTTTCGATATAACATTATTTCTCTCATCAAGGTGACAAAGACGATTATCATACTTCAGGTATCTACTGTCATGGATCAGAAGCACGGATGTGTACGAAGGAAGCACATGTATCTAGGGGTTCACGATCCCAGGGTCTTTAAGTTATCCTCAGCGCTCTATCCGCTCAGACCAGAAGTGGGTAAACTGTATGGTACATCGCTAGCATCGAGAGCGAGGCTTTCGGGTCTTCCTACCGCATGTGAATTCAGGGTTAGGTTTGCCATCGTACATCTTTAACAGTTGCTTGCGATCACACCACGCAGCCGGCGGCGGCGGAAGATCATGGCGCATGTTACCGCAGCCGGCGGCGTGACCGCAAGCAAGTATCCTATCCAACACATCCAAAGACTGTGACACATACTGTGTGAGAGCCAGCGGAGTGTAACTCAGTACCAGCAATCTCTAGCAGGCATATCAGTACGTACTACGAAGTATTGAAATCTGTATGACTTTCAGGCTGAGAGTCTTGATAGTGGAAGCACGCGTTCGTATATAGAAAAAGGATTACATGATGCCTTGGCTACCTTTGGCTTATAATGCCATGAGTGCAGGTGTCCCACTGTAACCGCTGACTCTCTTGGCTCACCAGCGCATTGAAATCCAATCTACATGACGAGGAATCATGAATGGCCATACAACCTCGGACTTCGCGAACGGCGAGGCGGCGACCGTGAATGGATCTTGATCGGGGAATGCAAATGTCTCGGATACCCTAGCAAGATACGACAACGAGAATAAGTACAAAGAGTCACGGCACAATCTTGCAGTGATACCACAACCTTGATGTCCCATGGGGATAACTCCGCCCTTGCTCCCCCGCGGTATCCCCCTTCTCTCCCGCCGAAGTACACATCCGACCCCGCAGACGAAGAAGAGACACTGCAGGCCGCCGTCCGCTCGTTCACACTCTCCACCGGCATGTCTATCAAAACGGATGGTCAGATATCCCTGGTGCTCAACAACCAGATCGAAGGGGCAATAGTTCCAAGCTTCGGCCGGCTGGCGCATATCAACGGCACGGTCGCGATCGAAGCGCACGACAGAGAAAGCGTTCGTGAAACATCCGTTACGGTGAGTGATACACTCAGAG